CGGTCTAGAAATGATGTTTTAATATGATTAAAGGTAGCCCATGTTACCTAAATACGGTTGGCCTGAATTAAAAATAAACTGTCGAGGTGATGAAGAATTCGTCGAACTCAGGATTTTTATGAACGGAAGCCCTCAAACCTTGCCTCACGAATTTTTATATGTCCATCGTCTTGTAGAACGAACTGGTCTAAAAGACATAAGGAATTCCCTTACCTCAGGTTACCCTTGTCGTGCTAACTGACTGTTTCTAGACAATACTTTGATACTGACTACATAAACTATATAACATTATTCCTAGCATGACGGTAACGCAACATTGCAAAGTTATTAAATACCTTTTCGTAGCTAAATGTTTCTGGGTTATTGTTCAACTGCTTCAAGCACTTCATGGCATGCTCATGGTCCGTGAAAGTGACGAAAGCGAAACCCCGTGATTTACCAATTTTGTCTTTGTTCAACATCGTCATATCTCTCATGATGCGACACTGAAAGCAGGTCTCACGATTAAAAGCACGAATATATGTAACCGGTTGATGACAAACCTCGGTAATCCGGCAACTTCTTTCGGACACGGCCGCAAAGCACAGTTTCCTCAACTGTACGTCGCTGAGACCCAGTGGCAAATTGTGCACACATATTCGAGTGGGACTAACAAATATGTGCAAATTTTTTATCTTCTCCTTATTTGTCCGCTGAATCTTCATTCTCAGAGAGATATCGTGTTTCGACATATCCGAGGCAGTTGCTTCATTTTGACTTATCACTGAAACATTTGAAAATTAGTAACAGTGAATCTAACCACTCATATAACAGCAGCTGTATTACAATAATAAAACTCCAAAACTACTCACTGGAGGAAACTGAATTTATTCCTTGATTCTAAAATTGGTGTTTTAATATTCATATATAAAACTTACACTCGAAATATACAAGTCAACGCAACATTGCAGAAACAGAATTAAGAAGCCAGAGCATAATATATTTAAAGAAATTCTATATGCCTCAACACGGTAGCTACGACGCCATACAAGGAATTCGTAAACAGCCGACTAACACAACTGATAACCGGGGCTGACAATGTTTTCTATTTTTAGTCAAATTTCTTCCGGTGATTCACACTCTGACTACACAGTGAGAGAAAAAGTTGAGAACAATCGTCAGTATTAATTTCTGAATGAAACATGAAATATTTTCACAACCTTACCGATTCTTCGACAAAAAAACTTTTTGAATGAGGATATCAAAAAATAAAATGACAATACTGTGGCATGCAAATAACCAAAATCTAAGAAACCTGCAGTAAAAAGGTTGTCGATATTTCATACTGACACTTCCATCCATCTGAACTAAAGAAGGCACTTTTCGCTTAATACATAACCAAGAACAGATGTTTCAAGAAACATTTACACAGTTAACAGAGTACAGGAATGCGCGAGTGCCTTGGTGCACAGATTGAAAAATCACAGCTGGGATGATTTTAGCGCGTGTTGCGAACGCATCCAGAAAGGGAGGTGAAGCAACTATTTCTTGCTCAGCCGCCAGGCAGAAGGCCCAAGGGACAATGAAAATCAACCTGGTGCAAATATATGGAAGGGGTCAACTTCAGACTTCAGTTGCCTTCTACCAAAGCTCAGACTATGGCACAGGATCAGGAAGGTTGGAAGCACTGTCTGACATCGGTCTCCGCAATCCGAAAGGAGAAGCGGTTCTAGAAGATGAAGAAGAATAACAGCAGTAATTTAATATTTGTAAGTATTTAGTAAACACTGTCGTTGCTGGTCCCAAGTTCAGATTACCACTGAAGATGGTTTGGGATCTTGCCAGGTCGCCTGTAAAACTCAGCCAATTACCCACAACAGCATTGAAGCTATCGAACGTTATGCCAGTTTCGTCGTCTCCCGGGTTACCAGTGCAGGCTGTTGAGAAACTAAGATGGATTGCCAGAATTCGACAATCAGTGCCGGCATCACATCATCTGGCAGATGAGGGTGTGTAATAGCCAAGCACTAGTTGACGAAGATCGACAAAAAGAAGACGAAGGCAATAGTTAGCAGCGGTATCATTAAACGATCTGAACAGAACTAGCGCAGAGCACGATACTATTATAGCACATCCGAAAAGGTTCCCGGGAACAATATCGACAGTGGCAGTTCACAATTAGAAATTGGAACATCTCACTGCGATGGATGTAACAAGAGCTAAATGATGAGATCGCAAGGTACCGACAGAGTTGGACACTAATCTGCGAAGCGCCAAGGTCCTGAAATTCTGAACCTCTGCGGATGAAAGCTATTCAGCCCAGGTGTCGACATAACGACGCGCGCTCAGGCCAGTGTTGGTGTTCTGGTAGAACTCAACCTGGCTGAGTGAATCACTGAACAGAAGTCTGACAGGAAAAAAGTGGCAATCCTCTGACTGAGGCTACAATAGGCTAAATCTTTGACCCGCTACAGGTCTACATGCCCAATTTTGAGGGAGAATAAGACTGCATCCTTGAGGAAGTGCAGTGTGCTCTGTACGAATTTCCGACTCAGAGTTCTTCATTCTAATGGGCAATTCTACTGGGCATATCGGAACAGACACCTGAAAGTGGAAAGGAGTGACTGAAAAGAACGGCCCTCACGACCTCAACAATGATGGAATGATCTTGTCATGGTAACAGCAAACAACGCACTGGCTGTTACAAATACTTTTCTTAAACATTTAAGCGTGCATCAATATACCTGGTACAGTGAAGCTTGTGCACAGAATTGGATGACAGATCTATCGTCTGACTTAAGACGCTCTGTAATGGATGCTTGAGTTAAGAGAGGCGCAGAGCTATCAACCGATCATAACTTTGTTGTTGGCAGGCTATGCTGTAAGAAATGGAGTACCATACGATGGTCCGGAACCAGAGAATCAAATGCGAAAGATTATCTTTGGTGCACACGAAGGCGAAATCTGCAAACAACATCGCGC